TTCCTGTTTTCCTGGTGTTGCCTGAAGTTGCTGCTCTTCAGCTATTTCCACAAGCCGTCTTCCTTCCAAGACTTCTGGAGATTCATCCTTTTTCAGAATTGTTTCTAGAAGCTGAGACTCTTCCTGTTTTCCTGGTGTTGCCTGAAGTTGCTGCTCTTCAGCTATTTCCACAAGTTGGCTTCCTTCCAAGACATCTGGAGATTCGTCCTCTTTCGGGATTGTTTCTAGAAGCTGGGACTGCTCTTGTTTTTCTGGTGTTGCCTGAAGGTGCTGCTCTTGAGCTATTTCCACAAGTTGGCTTCCTTCCAAGACTTCTGGAGATTCATCCTCTTTCGGGATTGTTTCTAGAAGTTGGCCCTGCTCATCCTTTCCCATTGCTTCTTGAGGTTGTAGCTCTATAGCTGTTTCCAGAGGCAGGATATTTCCAGTTGTTCCTAGAAGCTTCATCTCTCCAGCAGGTGGTGGATTCTCATCACCTTCCACTGTGCCAGGGGAGACCCTCTCTCCTGCAGTCCTCAAAGGCTGACCCTCGACTTTTGTTCCTAAATGTTCAGCCTCAGCACTCCCTTTTAAAGGCCGAGCCCCTGTCACTGCTTGTACATCTTTCTTCTCTTCTTCCGTTCCTGGGGTATCATCTTTGCCACCTGGTCCCTCTGTAGGCTGTGTCTCCTCCGTAGATTCGGAGTGGTCTACAGCGTCCTTTCCAGGGGCCACATTCTTTTCCAGGGGCTGCTCACTGAGGGATTTAACACCATTCGCTGTAGACACTGCTGAAACCTTGAGCTTTCCTAAAGGGGGAAGGCTTTCCCTTTGTGTGTTGTCATACAAAGCAGATTCTCTTCCCAGGGTGCATGGCTTTGGTTGGGCAAAGCAGGACTCACTTTTCTCTGTGGTTGAAAAATGTTCATTTGAAGTTACTTTTTGATTATGCATTTGAAAAAGAAAAAGAAAAGAGAAAACAAATTATTGTCTAGTTATATCTTAAAGTGGCTGATACCAAGAGGGAGCTCTAACAGTTCCAGATAGTCCCAGGTACATCTGAGGACAAAAAGGCCATATCATGACCCTAATGCTCTCCAAGTCAAATCCCTTTCCTATCTTCAGCTCATCTTAAATTCTAGGGTCCTCAGAAACCACAGTTTTCTCCTGTCTGCTTTTTGTGCACCTTCTCGTGGTTCCTGTCCCACATTCTTTTTTTTTTTTTTTTTTTCGAGACAGAGCCTCAAGCTCTCGCCCTGGTTAGAGTGCAGTGACATCACAGCTCACAGCAACATCCAACTCCTGGGCTCAAGCAAGTCTCCTGCCTCAGACTCCCAAGTAGCTAGGACCACAGGCGCCCGCCACAATGCCCGGCTATTTTTTGGTTGCAGCTGTCATTGTTGTTTGGCGGCCGGGCTGGATTTGAACCCGCCACCTTAGGTGTATGTGGCTGGCGCCTTAGCCACTTGAGCCACAGGCGCCAAGCCACTGTCCCACAGTCTAATTCAGGTATTTCTGCTTTGTTTCTCGTGTTCTTTTCCCCATCTCACCCTTTCTTCCTCAATAGAAGGTTTCACGATTTGTGTTATTTGGGCTGCTAGAGAGATCTTTCTTTTCTTCTCATGCAGAATGACTCCCAGGAAAGGGAAAAGCCCTGTGGCAGAGAAACCCTACCAGATGAAGAAATCTGGGAAGGGAAGTGTTAGGAAGAGTTTCCCCTGAGTTTCACGTCATTTTAGGAGCACAATGAGAACGGAAATCAAGAGAGAGGAAACACACATAGTACTTCTTGTTCTTGCTCTGTCTGTGTGACCTTTGGAACTTAGCTCCCAATGATCTTGTCCCCACAATGGCAGTAAATCTGTCTCTTCTTCTCCCATCTCAGACTTTCATGAGGCATCCTGTCACAATAAACAGTGGATTTGAAAGTGCTCTGTACGGTGTAAGAGGAGCATCTTGGCAACACATACATACTCTTTGACCTAGTAATCCTACTTTTGGAAATTTGTCCTAAAAGCATAAAGCTTAGGAAAATGCTTTGGGGAAAGATATGCTTTCCTCAGTATTCTTTATAATAGCAAAAACTGGAAAACAGTCAAGTTAGGGAACAGATAAATATTCCACTGGCTGGAATATGGTTGTACCATAAAAAAAAAAAAGATGATTATGAAGGCCAAATGCTAAAATAAGAAAATAATTATGGTGTAAGAAGTTTTAAAAATAGCTCATGGTTGGGTTGATCAAATGGAACAATGCTTATAAAGCAGCGGTTCTCCACCTGTGGGTCACACCCTCACAGGAACTGTATTAAAGGGTCACAGCATTAGGAAGGTTGAGAACCACTGTTAAAACAAACATTGCTGTGCAATGAAGTGCTTGATTAGTTAGCTACCAGTTTTATATACAGTATGATGTAATGTTCAAAGAAAGGAAGGGAGAGAGGAAAAACAAAGAGGCAGGGGAAAGACTAGATGAAAACAAGTCAAATGTTAAAATGGTCTCTAGGTGACATTTTTCCTCTTGTATCTTTTTTCCCCAAAGATTCTTTTTCTTTTTATTCCCTGAGTTACCCCAGTTATATACACATGTAGTTTAAACAGTTATCTGCTTATCTAATGTAAGTTAAAGACAAGTAACACTCAGGTATCTGCTCCCATTTCCCCTTCTCTAGGGATAAATAATTCGATTCTTTTAGCTGTTTTAGAGGACTGCTTTCTCTAGTCCGCTAAAGGAATTGTACTTCAGGATTTTTCTGTTTGGGCTATTCCAGTTGACCCCAACTATGGGAGATAAAGACTTAGCTCCTTTTCTACCCCCCTCCCTTACATACTCACATTTCCTTCCAATTCAGCAATCACATATTAAGTATTTAAAATAGTAATGTAATTTGGATCATACCAATATTCACTTAGATGCACATATGACTGTGCCTGCTATGAAGAAGTGAGCCATATACTAAGCCACGACTTTGTGTGAACATTTTTTTATTTTTCTCCAAGTTAGTAATAGTCATGGGTTTTCCTTTCCTTAGCTTGCGTGTTATCAGTTATTCAATTCACTGCTGATTCTCTTTTTTTCTCTCTTTTTAATATATTTATTCATAACAAATAGCCATCAATTTCATTTTCATGAAGAAGAAACTTCATGAAACTTGTGGAGATACCTGGTGCCACCAACCCCTGAGCTTTTTAAGGATCCTGTGGCCTCAGAATCACAACTATTAAAAGGAAAAAGAAAAAGGTCCTGTGGCATCTGGGGTGGTTCTCAGTTTTCTCTCCCGCTAATGTCCAATCGAGCTTTCCTTGGTATACTAAGCAGTTATCACACATCTGTCTGCTTTCCGAACCCCCATATTGTTCTATCATTGTCTTTCCAATGTTCTTCCCATCCTGTGGGTTTCAACAGATTTGTTTTTAAATCTCTTTACTGTCATTTTAGTGCATTTCAGGAAGGCACAAAATAAGATCCACATCTTCCATCTGCCACTGTCACTAATACATCCAAAAATGCTTTGATGATTATTTATAATGAAAAAAAAAATCTCCAAATGAATACATCGCATGTATATAAAAATGGTTTATATTGGGTGGCGCCTGTGGCTCAAAGGAGTAGGGCACTAGCCCCATATGCCAGAGGTGATGGGTTCAAACCCAGCCCTGGCCAAAAACTGCAAAAAAAAAAAATGGTTTACATTTAAAAAATGACTCCATGGACTCGGCTCTCTGGTATCCTAGAATCTTATAAAGCCATCAGAAGCGGTAAACTAACAAAAACAAAGCCCATACAATAAGTTCTGTGACAGCTGCAAGAGAGTGCACATGGGTTGAGTGCTATGGGATCGTTTCTCGAGTTCCAGAAGGAGAAAGCACAGGGGAACCTGGAGGACTTGGAAGGAATGCTGGCTCAAGGCTGGTACAGGAGCCAGATCATGAAGAGCCCTGTAGGTGGTGCTAAAGAGTTCAGAAATTATCCTGAAGGGATAAAGGCATAAGGAATAAAGAACAAGAATTGTGAGCAGGATTTTCTTTCTTTCTCTCTCTCTTTCTATTTTCCTTTCTTTCTTTTCCTCCTTTCTCTCTTTCTTTACTTCTTTCTCTTCTTCCTTCCCTCCTTTTTTTTCCTTGGAGTAAGTCTGTCCCACTGTCACCCCCAACTAGAGTACAGTGGTATTATCATAGCTCGCTGCAACCTCAAACTCCTGAGCTCAAGAAATTCTCCTGCCTCAGCCTCTTGAATAACTAGGACTTCAAGTGTCCGCCCATTCCCAGATAATCTTTCTTTAATTTTTTGTAGGAACAGGGTCTCACTATTGCCCAGGCTGGACTTGAATTCCTAACCTCAAGTGATCCTCCTGCCTTGGCCTCTCAAAGGGGTAGGATTAGTAGGGTAAATGTGAGCCACTACACCCAACCAGAGCTTTCTTTAAAAGTTAAATAAAAACTACACCCAACCAGAGCTTTCTTTAAAAGTTAAACAAAAAATACACAGGCACTTGGCTTGGTGCCTGTAACTCAGAGGCTAGGGCACCAGCCACACACCTCAGCGCTGGAAGGTTCGAACCCAGCCCGGGCCTGCCAAACAATGACAACTACAACCAAAAAAATAGCCAGGCACTGTGGCAGGCACCTGTAGTCCCAGCTACTTGGGAGGCTGAGACAAGAGAATCACTTAAGCCCAAGAGTTGTAGGTTGCTGTGAGCTGTGATACCATAGCTCTCTACTCAGGGCAACACAGTTAGACTCTGTCTCAAAAAAAAAAAAAATACATATGCACCATATAACTCAACCATTTCACTCCTAGGTATTTGCCCAAAAGGAAAGCAAAGATGGCTCAGCGCTGGCAGCACAGTGGTTATAGCCACATACCCTGAGGGTGGAGGGTTTGAACCCAGCCTGGGCCAGCTAAACAAATGCAACAACAAAATAGCCAGGCACTGTGGTGGGCACCTGTAGTCCCAGCTACTTGGGAGGCTGAAGCAAGAGAATTGCTTAAGCCCAAGAGTTTGAGGTTGCTGTGAGTTGTGACACCATGGCATTCTACCGAGGGTGATATAATGAGACTCTATCTCAAAAAAAAGAAAAAAGAAAAAGAAAAAAAGCAAAGCAAGGATGCAGTTCTGACAATTAAGTTCATGAACTTGCCACCATGCACTTACAATGGCAACACTGTACAAACAACTAGGTAATATTTCATAACTTTGGTATATCAGTGTCTCATGGTTGTGTCTATGCCTACATATAGCAGGGTCTTGCTGAGTCGCATTCATTATTGTTGTTGCGTGTTTTTGTGTGCCTTGGCAAGAATATCAGAGCTTGAATTAAAGCAACAAACAAGCATCTGTAAATTTCTTGTTAAACTTGGCAAGAGTGGAAGTGAAATTAGGGACATGTTAGTCCACATTTATGGGGATAATGCAATGAAGAAAATGGCAGTATATAAATAGATTAAACATTTTTCTGAGGGGAAAGAAAGTATCACTGATGAAGAAAGGTCAGGGAAGCCAGTGACAAGCAGAACTGATGAAAACATTGTAAAAATTTGACAAATTATGCATCAAAATTGTGGACTGACTATAAGAAGCATAGCAGACCAAGTAAACATCAATAGAGTAAGAGCTGGGAAAATCTTAACTGAAAGTTTTGGTCAAGAACTCATGGCTCTTGCATCACGACAATGCACCAGCCCACACAGCACTGTGAGGGAGTTTTTAGCCAGTAAACAAATAAATGTATTATAGCACCCTCCTTATTCACCTGATCTCACTCCCAAAGACTTCTTTCTTTACCCAAAGATCAAGATATTATTGAAAAGAAGACATTTTGATCACATTCAGGACTACAAGGGTAATACAATAGGTTTCATAGCCATTCTAGGAAAAGAGTTCCAAAATTGCTTTGAAGGGTAGACTAGGTGCTAGCATAGAGCATAGCTTCCCAAG